GTCACAGAGCAAAGTAGTGCCCGAGCTTGGATTTGAGCTGGCCCTATTCATGTCTTTTTTTAAAATCCTCACCTGAGGATATGTTTTCATTGATTTTGAGAGAGAGAAACATCGTTGTGAGAGAGAAACATTGATCAGTTGCCTTCCCTATGCTTCCCGATGGGATCAAATCCACAACCTAGGTATGTGCCCTGACCAGGAATCGAACCCCCAACCTTTTGGTGTAGAGGAAGGCACTTCAACTGAGCTGCAGGACTCATGTCCCCTTTTTATCATTTCTCCTCACTGGATAAGATGATCTTCTCTATCCCTTCAGCTCTGAGATCCCTGAGATAGTAGGGAAAATAATACTTTCCATGTTAATTTCATGTTAATCTCCTTCTCTTCTCTAAATCCCCAGGATGTCAGCACCTCCATTCCTAAGCAAGAAACCCTTCTGAGCCTGGCTGTAGACAGCCTTTTCTGGAATGAGGTGGATGTGGTTCAGGCAACCGATAATTTCAACCAAACCCACAAAATCAGTGAGGGGACCTTTGCTGACATCTATAGAGGACAAAGGCAGGGCATACCATTCGTCTTTAAGAAGCTCCGAGAGGTAAGCACTTGGTTTGTAGTGTGTGTGTTGGGGGAAGCTGCCTGGGTGAGGCAGGATTTTAATGTTTCGGAGTCTTTTCCCACAGATGGCCTGCTCAGGTCCAGGATCAATTGAAAATTTCTTCCAAGCAGAGATACGAATTTGTCATAGGTAAGCCTCCCCTATGGAGAATTATTAAACTTTGTTTAATAATGGTGACAGCTAACCCTTATCTAGTGCTTCCTATGTGGCAGGCATGCTTTAAGCACTCTGTATGTACAAACTCATTTTATCCTCCCAAGAACCCTGTGATGTAGCTGCTATTAGCACAGTATTTTACATATGGGCAAGTTGAGGCACAAAGAGGTCAAGTGTCTTGTCCAAGATCACACAGCAAGTAGGTGACAGAGTCAGAATTTGAACCTAGGTTGCTCTGGCACCATAGTCCATGCTTTTTCTGTTTAACAGCTATAAGTATAGATTAGAATTATAAAAGATCCTTGGCTCACTTGGCCCAACTCCTTTCATTCAGGGGGAAAGAAAGCCATTTTTATCTCTCTTTTAAAAAAATGTGTTTTTTTTTTTTTTTTATTGATTTCAGAGAGGAAGGTAGAGGGATAGAGAGATAGAAGCATCAATGATGAGAGAGAATCATCAATCAGTTGACCCCTGCATGCCCACACTGGTGATAGTGCCTGAAACCTAAAACCTGGGCCGTATGCCCTGACTAGGACTCAGACCATGACCTCCTGGTTCATAGGTTGATGCTCAATAACTGAACCATGCCAGCCAGGCTTCAGGTTTTTAAAAAAATATTTTTTACCCTGACTGGTTTGGCTCAGTGGATAGAT